TGATTTGATGATAAATCCAGATAACTAAGATTTACTAAATTAGCAATTGAGTTAGGAATTGAACCCTGGAGTTTATTGTTTGACAAATCTATGTGTGTGAGTGAGTTTTGCTGGAATTGACTTATTTGATCTTGAAATTGGTTATGATTGAGATAAAAGTACTCTAACAAAGGCAGGGTGAAAATCCAACGTGGCAACGTACCATTAAGTAAGTTATAAGATAAGTCTAGATACATTAGTTTGGAAAACCTAATAGCATGAAAAGGAATGGGACCAGAAAACTGATTATTTGAAAGGTCAAGATCACTAAGTTGTGTGAGGTTTGCAAGTGATGGTGTGATTTGTCCGCTAAGATTGTTAGAATAGAGGGCTAGTCTAGTAAGTTGCTGTAAGTTACCTATGGAAGCTGGAATGGGACCAGAAAACTGATTATTTGAAAGGTGAAGAAAGGTAAGTTGGGAGAGGTTTGCAAGTGATGATGGGATTTCTCCGCTAAGATTGTTAGAATAGAGGGCTAGTCTAGTAAGCTGCCTTAAGTTACCTATGGAAGCTGGAATGAGACCAGAAAACTGATTATGTGAAAGGTCAAGATCACTAAGTTGGGTGAGGTTTGCAAGTGATGATGGGATTTCTCTGCTAAGATTGTTAGAATAGAGGGCTAGTCTAGTAAGTTGCCTTAAGTTACCTATGGAAGCTGGAATGGGACCAGAAAACTGATTATTTGAAAGGTCAAGATCACTAAGTTGGGTGAGGTTTGCAAGTGATGATGGGATTTCTCCGCTGAGATTGTTACGACAGAGGTATAGACTAGTAAGTTGCCTTAACTTACCTATGGAAGCTGGTATGGAAACTTCCAAGTTGCAGCTAAGACAAAGATACTGTAATGACTTTAGATCTCCTATAGACTCTGGCAATCGCCTTCCGCAATCCATATCACCTAAATACAACCGTTGGAGAGGACTGCTCCAATTGGAACTTGGAAGATCAATAGTGAGGTTTTGCTCTCCACTTAAATAAAAGTTCTTGAGATTTGGAAAGTGGAAAATACTGTTTGGAAAATTTCCTCTTAACCCACTATTGAAAAGATCAAGAGTAGTCAAAGAAGAAGAGAGATTCATGAAGAAACGAGGATTAACAGATGTCATGTTCACTCCACGAAGATCAAGTTCTCTCACCTCACTCAAGTTATGAACAAGATTTTTGAAGGTAGTTGTTTCAAGGATCAAGTGAGAAGAATCATAATGATTGGAGAGATTGAGAGAAACTAACTTGGGGAGGTGAGCAATTTCTGCTGGAACTTGGCCCAAAAATCGAGAAGAAGAAACATCAAGATGCTTCAGTCTCGTAAACTGACTAATTTCTGGTGGAATCTTGGACAGCCTAAAATCATTGAAGGCAAGATTGAGGCTCTGCAGGTTTTTGAGGAGAAAAAGAGTGCTGTTGGAAGGAAAGGTACCAAAAAGGAGACTGCAGCTGAGATCAAGGGCGATTACATGACCTATGACATTATCACAGCTAACCCCATCCCAGGAACAACAGTCTATACCTTCCTTCCATGATTCAGTCTTAGAATAAGGTTTGGTATAATAATGTTCACATAAATCAGGATTAGAAGCAATGAAATTGATGGAAAAGGAGGTCTTGAATTGCAGCAAAGCAAGAGCCTCCTCATGAGAGCAGAGATGTGCTGCTGAGAGGGAAGAAGCATGTATAGAGGATGAGAAGGCGGCTTTAAGACAGAGGAAGAAAAACGGAAGGTAGAGTGGTGTACAGAGCATTGTGAAAATTCCCATATCTTTATTCGTCGTAATAGAGTACTCTAGAAGAGTATATATAGAGTGTTTTAAATTGAGGTGTGCTAATAATTGAATATATTCCATCAAAACAAAAACAAATTGAGATATACTAATAATTAAATATATTTCATCAAAACAAAAATAAATGAATATAAAATGTAATATTGACCCATGGTAGATGTCATTTTCGAATCTACATTTCAAACTCCTCTGTTATTTTCCTACTTTGAAATTAGGTGGAGTAATTAACTATTACAATCACATTATATTAATATGATTTTAATTAGTAATTTAAATTTTAGTAAGAAAATTTTCCTTTTGTCATGGCGTGATGTAAAAAGGTATTTTTTTAATTTAAAAATTAGAATTAATAATTTTAAAAGATTATTTACTTGCATTTCTTAATATATATACATGTATATATATAACAAATATTAGTAGATAAATACTAATATCAACAGATTATTTAATATAATGTATAATCACTTGCTCTGAATGGGGTGAGCAAAATACGTAATATAATCATTTACTGCAATTCTCATTTCAAACTTTATGTATTTGTTAATTTCTTACATTTTTATTTTTTTAGAACAATTTTGAATGATTAATAAAAAAAATTAAGGATGCACTCTATACCTGAAAGAAGGAAAAGATTATAAACAAATTTGACGAAAGACCTAATTGAGTTTTAATCATGGTACTATGATTTCAATTCAAAATTTAAAAATTGGTTCCCAGTTCAATTGGAAACCCTTCCACTCTTGCATTACATATTGGCATGTACATACATCATTTTTATAGCATGTCAATTTTCACATGTACTTACAAATATAGTCAAGAAAATGTAACTAAGAAAACTTGTAAGCAGTTGCAGGGACATGATGGATATAGAGAGGATTGAAAAACTCAAGTTATCTTTGGCTTCTTTATAAAAGGTGCAACATTGATTTACATATATCATATTTTTTGCATGTCAATTTGCACATTT